TTTGAAGCCGTTTTTGATCTGTTGTGGAGTAAACCGGTATAGGGCTGCCATTTCACACATGGCTTTCCCCTTCCAGTAAAGAGCTGGATCTGAAGTGGTTTGCCATTTCAGACTGCACCGCTTTTCCCCCGCCATTTTTCGCCCGTGCGGGCGACCTCCAGCTGCATTTTTTTGGGGGGAACGTTCACTTTATAGCGCTATAGCACTATAACAAAACACTCCAGGCATTCCAATGGGGTTGATATAATGCTGTTCCGTTATAGCGCTATGACGCTATAAAGCGAACGTTAAAAAAAAGCCAGAGATCGCCCACGCGGGCGAAAAACAGCGGGGGAAAAGCACATCAAAACCGGGAGAGGAAACTGAAGACTATTTGGAAGCGGTTGACAGGTAAAACGCTTCAGCCCCGTTTCCTAAACGGGACAGAAGCGTTTGTGTCTGAAATTACAAATATATTCTGGTAGGGAACCGGTTCTAAAACCGTTCTGTCTGAAATGACAGACCAGAAACCGTTTGGGAACCGTTCCTCTTCTGGAATATATCGTCTGTCTGAAATTCCTCCTGGCTTTTGTACGCACCCAGTTCTTCTCTCATTTTCCTCTTTGTTCCACTCTTAGAGCATAGCTGTCAAGTATACAACTAATTCTTTGACATGCACAATCCATTCCCATTGAAGTCTATGGGAAGCCCTGTCCTCACAGTTCAGAGATGTCATTGCACAGCCTTCCAAAGAAGTCGTTGGTGCTGTTTTATAAGGTGCAAATCCTTCCATAGCATGTATGGTCAACTCACTTTTAATGCTGTTATGTATAGTCACTGCGGGCAAACAGCAATTCAACTGAAAGATAAACAAGTGTCATAGTACGTAGTCATAGATCAGAAATCTATCATTAGCTGTGCTGTAGGGAGCTGAACGACCCTTTCCCCCCACCCCTCCACAGATAATAAAGCTGGGCAGAGATTGATAGTTATTTTACAGTATATTAAAAGCACACAATGTATTAGATATATTTATAGTAGACACAAGACAACACGGTCCCAACATGTGACACAGACGGATATGTAAATCCACATGCCAATTGTGTTGACTCCAACAGGATCCCAGTAAGCCCTGGGCTATGAACCAGAAATTAAGCACCAAGGACTCCAACCTGGATATTTAGGGGAAGCCTCACCAGCCGAGCCCTCAATAACTTTGGTCGATTAAAAGCCCTGTGCTTATCAGAACATGGGGAAAGCGCTGGTTTCTTCCGTGCTGCTGTGAGTACCTGCACAGTTAACAAACCAGCCCGGCGGAATGTTTGTTTCGGAGGGGAAGTAAGTTGTTCAGTTCGGTATTGCTTGTAGTGGACTCATCGGCAAGACAGTTGCTCATGAGCAAAAACATTTTGTAGCATTAAAAACAGGACTCGAGTGGATGCCAAATACCATGGCTGGTGTGAATAAGCGGCTGGTACCTAGGATGAGATGGTTAGACAGTGTCATCGATGCAACGAACATGAAATTGAGCAAACTTCAGAGGATGGCGGAAGACCGGAAGGCCTGGCGGGAGCTGGTCCATGGGGTCGCGAAGAGTCGGACTCGACTGTGCGACTGAACAACAACAACCTAGTTTTTGTGTCTGGCGCTGAATGGGCGGTTTCCCTTTCCTGTGTCCCTTTCAGTGTGACAGACAGCCGGCATCCACCTTAGCTCCAGGACTGGCAGTGTTGTATGCATAGGACCTCTCTCAAGCAGATACTGTCACCCGTTCGAGCAGTTTTCAGGGGTCAATTTTATTTCCTTTGGCTTTAAAGGGAAAGCCTGTTGGGTGGCTTGGCCCGCCCCATAAGATCTCTTTGTAAGCAGCAGCTTTCGGAAAGTCAGTCAGTGATTCCACAGATGAAGACAGTATGGTAAAGGTTCAGGCTTTCAGCACCTTGTCTTCCGCATCCATTCCATAAGGGTAGGTCGGGCGCCTTTCACCAGTGGGCTTTCAGGTCCGCTCAGGAGACGGTAATGCCAGTTGCTTGCAATTGTGAGCTGCTGTGCTAGGAAGGGATTCTTAGCTGCCAGCAGATTGTTGCTGTAGTGCTGACTCTGTGGATACTGTGCCATTTGCATGCTTTGCTGCTGGCGGTGTTGGAGAAAGGGCAACCCCTTTACCTCCCTGTAACAGATGGCAGGGCTTTGCTGGAAAAACAGGAGGGCTGCTCATGTAAATTTCCCGAGGAGCGGTTGCACTGTGGTAGAGCAACAGCAGCACCCACTCGGTGGAGCGACAGACTTTTGGGGGAAACGTTCACATGCAGCCAGTCGGGCAACACTAGCGCCCTCCTCTTTGCCGACCCCAATACAGGATGATTAGCCAAGTCCTCTGGCGGAAGACTGCCCTCTCATTCGCTCCAGCGACACAACTTCTTTGCCGTTATCTGCTGAGCCATCAAGTCTGCCGTGTTCATTTTTAACGATGGGGGATCTCCACAAATAGACGTCTTCTGTCTTTTACCTTTTTAGAAGCAATGTTTTATTGATGCGTTTCATCG